ATTTTATAATTAGTAGTTAACTAGATAGTAGTAAGGTAGTATATAAGATAGAATATATAGCTTTAGCTTATTATTTACTTTTTTATAGTAGATAAATTTAATAGCTATAGCTAATATAGGCTTCCTTATAGCTAGGTACTATATAAGTATTAAAAAAATATCTTTATAGTAGAGAGCTTTAGGATAGCCTCTCTTAATTATCTCTTATAGAAGTATCTTATTAAGCTTTATAGATTACTTATCTAGTATTTAATCTACACTAATATTATTTTCTACTTCTTATATAACTTTCTAGCTAAAGAGAATCTCTTAAGAGCTATCCTTTAGACCTTTTCTCTTACTATTTATAAGCTTTATAGGTTAGGTTCTAGTATAATATAAGAGCTAGTAATAGCTAGTTAACTAGATCTAATAACGCCTAAGGCTAAATATACTTATATTATATATAATATTAAATATTAAGATAACCTAAAGACTATTAATATTAAGGACTAGCTTATTATTAATATTTAGTACTTAAAGATTAAAGTAAGAGATTAAAATATTATAGTAATATTAAGCTATAATTAATAATTATAATTAGGTACTTTAGCTTATAAGGTTTTAATACCTTATAGACTTCCTTTATATTATTTTTATTTATATAATACCTTATAATAGTTATATAAAGCTATTAGAATTAGTAAATATACTCTTCTAATATACCCTATAATTAGACATTATAGTTTATATAAATAAAAAGAAAAAAGTCTATTATAATAATATAGGTTAGGTTAATAATTATTACTTACTAGTTATTAACCTCCTTCTTACTATAATAGCTATATTAAGGTTAGCTATAAGCTCTAAAATAGCTTATAGGTAACCTTAGTATACTATTTCTATCTTTTAAAAATATTAGAAATATTAATCTTTATTTTAGTAAAGTACTTAGGCTTTATAAATTAAATAACACTAAAATACTCCTAGTTTATAATATATTACTTAGCTAAGAGTAATATAGGCTTTAGTACTTTTTTAAGCTACTTAGCCCTTTAAAACTAGAGGAAGTTAAGGTAGTAGCTATCTAGAGTGTTTATATAATATATATAGGCGATAGCGCTTAGTATTATAGAAGGATTATTTCTATTAATCTAGGGCGGAGGTAACCTAGGTTAGAGGCTATAACGGACTTAGGGTAATAAAGAAAGGGAGAGGGGAGGGGAAGCGGGCGCGCCGCCACTCTATATACTATAGTGCCAGCCATTCTAGTGGTAAAAGCCGCTAGAATACGTGGGCGGCAAGAATAGGACAACAGCCAACGAACAGCAGGAAACGAGAATTGACGTAGTAAGTAGGCTCCTGTGGTTAGGGGCGGGCGTGGATCGGTTGTGCAGCCAAGACCGCCCGAAGTACACAGTACCC